CGGCGCGCCGCCAGCTCCGGTTCCTTCCCTTGGCTTGTCGGGGACACGCAGCTCGGGCTGGAGCATCCAAGCGCGCGCCCAGCAGAGCCGGGGCAGAGGCAGGGCTTGATGTCAGGCAGACAACGACACCGGCTCCGGTGCCACTTCCTTTATTACATGATTCAATCCAAATAAAAAAGTCAGGAAGGAAACACAAGAGAGTGTTTGAGGGGAGGGCAGGTGCTGCTAGCTGGACTGGCGCTGCTGGGACTCGGGTAGCTCCTGGCTGGGGGGCTCCGGGACGTCGGAGGCAGGCAGCGTTGCTTCCGGGGCCTTCACAGCATGCGGCTTGGTCAAGGCACCGTAGATGCCCAGAGCCTAGGGAGAGAAGCAGCCGTCGGGGGCAGAAATGAGTCCCGAGGAGAGGCCTGGCTCCCCCTCGCTCGGGCATCTGCGGTCCAGGAAGGCCCAGCCTCCTCCCTGGGGCAGGGCAGCAGCCCTGGCCCGGTGCCCAGCACGCCCCAGAGCCTGCAGCTGGGAGTCTGCACGTCAGCCGCTGAGCCAGGCCCTGGCGACTGCCACCCAGAAGCCTCCTGCTCCAAGCCTCGGGCTAGCTCGTTCCCCACGAGGACGCGAGGCGCCGCGTTCCCACAGCTTCCTTCCCTCCTTCCCAACCCGCGTCGTGCCGGGGCTCGGCCGCGCTGACCTGGGTGACCATGCTGGTGATGTCGCCGGTGTTGGCGGGCAGCAGGATGGTGTTGGTGTCCTTGGCCAGGTGGGAGAAGGCGTTCACGTACTGCTCGGCCACCGACAGGGAGGCGGCCGCGTTGCCGTTCTGCAAGAGAAGCGGGGCAGGGTCATGTTCTGGGGAAAAGCAGCTCCTCCGACGAGGGCATGAGGTGCTGGCCAGCCATGCTGCAGGACCAGCGCTCCTTGCTCTGCCCCAGTCTCAGCGCATGGGAAGGTGAAGCCCCCACGTGACTTCACTGCACGGATGAGGGGGACACGGCCGAGTGCCTGGGAAGCCGCAGGCGCGGGATTCCTAGGCCAAGGAGAGCAAAGGGACCCGGAAAGGGAAAGCCGGGTAACCCCCAGCCGATATTAGCAGCCTCTATGGACTGCCCCCCCCCCGGATGACTGGGGAGCCCCCCCGACAGCAGCACGAAGGTCAAGTAGGAGCCCATAGCACAGCCTTGCTGCCAGGGAACAGCAGTGTCTCCAAAACCCAGGGTGGGAGCATGGGGGTGTCCAGCACTGGCCCACGGGACTTGGCCTGGGGGCCTCCAGGCACCCTGCAAACAAGAGACCCACGCACACATGGGCCTGGGGTGAGCCACGCAGCTACCAAGAGGATAACTCCTCCTCCCAGACGTGTGCTGAGATGTCCAGAGTGTCCACTGGGATGAAGGGTCAGGGCAGCCCCTGCCGCCACCTGCAGTCCCTGCCGTAGGGATACCGGGGTGCACCTGACCCAGCACGGCAGCAGCCCCCAACTTCCTCACCTCCCTCCACCACAAACGCACACTCACGTGTTTGGTCAGTGCAGCCGCCAGGAGTTCAATTGCCTCAGCCTTGGCCTGGGCTCTGACCAGAATGGCACTGGCCTCTCCTGGGAAGGGAACACGGCAGAGGAGGAATCAGCAGAGGAGGAAGCACCGGCGCAGGGAGAGCCCTGACACTCCTAGAGCCACTGGCAGGTGGCTGGGCCCTGCCCTGCAGAAGGGCAGCATCTGGCTCGAGCCAAAGGAAAGCCCAGGCCACAGCAAGGTGAGGTGCCCGCTCCGTGCCTCAGCCTGGACTAGACTGCGGCTCAGCAGCACCAGCCATGCACAGGCTGCATGCCCTGTGACACCAGGCTCCAGGAAGGCAGGGGCTCGGGGTGGTGCCAGCCAGAGACCCCGGCTCCTTCCCCACCCAGGCATGTGGGAGAACCTGCTGCTGCTGCAGGAGGGAGCAGGTCTGAGTTCCCCCCACCTCGATGGGGCAGCCCTGTAGGCTGCCCAGGGTATTAGAGCCCCTGCTGCACTTCCAGCCTAGGCCATTACCAGAGGCTTTGTTGATTTGCTCGGCCTTCTGGGCCTCGGAGGCCAGGATCTGCGCCTGCTTGTGCCCCTCAGCCACGTTGATGGCGGACTCCCGCGTCCCCTCCGATTCCAGCACCGTCGCCCGCTTCCGCCGCTCGGCCTCCACCTGCGAGGAAGTGCTGGGGTTGGTGGCTGCAGGAAGCATGGCTCCCCCTTCTTGGGGGAGGCACAGGCCTGTCTCCCTGCAGAGGCCTGCTGCAAGCAAGGACCTGGGAAGCCCTGGGCAGCCCAGCCTGACTCAGCCCAAGCGCTGCAGTGAGGAGCAGCCGAGCCACTGGCGCAGCGCTTCCTGCCCAGCTCAGCCTCGCTGCTGTACTCTCACCTAATGCAGTGGAGAGTGAGCAGGCAGCTCATGCCATAGGCTGCACCCGTGATTTCAGGCTGGGTAGCACAGGGCTCTGAAAGGGATCAGGGGGCAGCTTCCTGCTGCCCTCGAGGGCTGCTCCTGGCACACTGCCAGCCTTCTGCCACCAAGGGGTGCTGGCAAGCACTCACGGCACCAAAAGCCACGTGGCAGCAAGCAGAGCCACTGCCACTTTGCTGGGAACAGTCAGAGCTGCGAGGACCCACTTCCCCAGCCCTCAGGGAACAGAAGGCGGGGTCGTGGGAGCAGAGCCAGCTCTGGCTCCAGCACCTATGCGCGCAGGGGCTGACCTGCATTTGCATGGACTCCTTCACGCGGGGCGGCACGTGGATGTTCTTGATCTCGTAGCGCAAGCACTGGATGCCCCAGTCATCTGCAGCCTGGTTGATGGCATCCACGATGCCAGCATTGAGGGATTCCCGTTCCTGGGGTTGCGGGGGCAGGCAGGGAAAGCCAGGTGAGAGGGGCAGGGGGAACCCTCCAAGCCGTCTCCCCGAGGCCAAACACAGCCCCGAAGGGGAAGGGGAGGGGATCAGAGGCAGAACTGACTGCACCTTCCAGATGTCTCCCATGGGGCCAAGGCCCCACTTACAGAGGGGCTGGACAGTGCCCAGCAGAGGTACCACTAGACATAAATGAGTCGAGGCCTGGACATGAAGAGCCCAGGGCTGAGGCAGGCATGCCTTGCAGTTTTGCCAGCACAGCCCGGCGGGGCCCCCAGCTGAACATCAAGAATGGCACCCACTGCACAGGAGCCCCCATGGCTGGGCCCTGCCAGGGCACACAGACTAGCTGGAAGGGCCCCCAGGAAGCAAGCTTTGATGCTGGATGTGGAGGGGCTTGGGTGCCTTCCACCCCCACTGGCCCTGAGAACACTGTTGGGCTCTGCCTCACCTTCCCTGGGCCCAGATCCCTCCTCCCAGCAGGACAAATCACCACCAGGGACACTCAGGGGCCCAGCCTGCGCCCCTGGCTGCAGCAGATGGATGCAGCTGTTGCTGCTGCCTCCATACAGACCATCCCTCCCCCACTGCCACCTCTCTCCAGCCTCACAGGCCAATGGGTCTCACAAGAACGCACTGCAGCTGGGCTGGAAGCCGTCATTCAGGACCTAGGGACACTATCCAGCTCCCTCCCATCCCTGGGCCCAAGCCCCAGCACGCAACTCACCCGGAAGACTTTGTCGAGGGAGATCTTGCCCAGCTCAGACCGCATGGTGGTCTGGGCCAGCTGTGTCACAGCATACTCAGGGTCCTCCACCCCATAGCTAGCCTGGAACGGGAGGGCACAGGACTCAGTAAGACCCTGCAGGTAGACAACACCTCTCCCTTGCTGGGAGGGATGTTTTTAGGGCCCACCTCTCCCCAGCAAAGGCAAATGCTCATGCCAGGGCACGGCAGGGAGATGAATGCAGCAGTGCTCAGACAAGTACGGGAAACAGGCAGCCCCAGGAAGGCGTATGGCAGAGCCCTGGCCCCAGAGCGGGTGTCTACTGGACTCACAGCAGCAATACCCAGCCCTGCCAGTCCCCTCCATGCACAGCAAGCGTGGGCTGTCCTCAAGAGCAGAGCAGCAGGGATGGCAAACACTGCCCGCTCTCCTGGCCTCTACTAGCTGCTGAGGGCCCACAGGTGGCTCAGTGCAGTACTGGCCAGCCCGTGCAGAGGGCTCGGACCGTTCCCCAGCCCAGCAGAGAGCGTGGCTGCTGCTTCCAGGCTAGGGCAGGGGATCTGGTCCAGGACATAAGGGGCAGGGGACACCGGCCCCAGGCAGAGCCCCCACAGGAGAAGATGAGGAGAGGAGCATGTGTGGCCCCCCTTCCCCATGCAGGAAGCTGGGAACAGCAGCAGATTGGGTGGGGGCCTGGCCCCAGCCTTCCCTCCCCTGCTCCAGGCCTGGCTCCTTCCATGACCTCAGTCCCCCTTGCAGTCCTTTGCACAAGCAGCTATAGCAGTGCAGAGCAGGAGGCACGAAGGGACTCCCCCAGGCCCAGAGCTGGCTACGTGGCCAGGCCGAGCCCCACAGGAACAGGGCAGGTACCTTGTAAGGGTCCATGATGCGCAGGTAGAGCACACCATCGATCTGCAGCGTGACGTTATCTGCAGGGAGAGAGGGAAGCAAGTGGTTACTGGAGCAGGGGATCTTCTGACACAGTCACACATTCATCACGGTTACACGCTTCTCTTCCCTGAACTGGTTAGGGGCAGCTTGCAGTAAAGGGCCAAGTATCTTATAAACACGGATGGAAGGTTAAAATAAGCTCTTTATGGTGTGTAACAAAACCTACTCCTGTATGTCTTTCCCCCACCATGTTTCTCTCTCCCCCCCTGCAGCTCCGGCTCTGGCTGGGGCCCTACGCCAGCTGGGGCAGGGAGCATGGAGCACAAGCTGCCTCTGGATCTAGCCCAACTACACAGCAGTGGTGGCAGCTCTGGCTCTGGGGCTAGGGCTGAAGCTGCCACCAACGCAACAGCTGCTATGTGACCAGGCTGGAGGCTGCACATGCTTTGTGCTTCTGCCCCCGGCTGGAGCAGGGGCTGGAGTTGCAAGGGGAAAGTTAACTGGTGGTGGGGGAGGGGGGGATGTGGGGAGAAGGCAGCAGCAGGAGCCAAACAGGGGGGAGGCAGTGGGGGGCTCAGCAAGTGCTGGTGTCTGAGTATGCAGGCACCGTGGGGAGGGACAGACATCACAGAGCACAGGCATGGCAGAGCAGGTGGGAATGAGGACAACTGGCGTGGAGGGCAAGGAGAGAGGCAGGGGCCAGAGGTGCCCTGCCAGCAGGTACTGGGGGGACGAGGTGCCAAGGGGCAGGGCTCAGGCCCAGCTAATGCAGTCACAGCAACAATAAACCTTGGAGTTTTTCACTACTGACTCCAGGTTGTCCTTTCTACATCGCACCTGGATGCCAGAAGGCTGACTGCTGGCCCCAGCCTCCCAGCAGCCTGAACCATGCACCAGGCACCTGAAAACATGTCCTCAAAGCAGTGCCGTGCTTCGCAGGCCCTTGGTCGGTGAGTGCTGGAGATGCCGGCTCACCTCCCGGGGGCCGGGGGGGAGGAGTGCTCTGAAAGGTCAAGAGCCCGTGGAGAAGAGTAGGCTGAGTGCTAGGGAGGATCCAGCAAGGTGGCAGCTGGAGATGGGAGCCCAAAGGGCCGTGCTGTTCTCTGCACCTTGAATTCTACAGACAAGGTCAGATTCAGACGTGCAAGGGTGGCAAGGATACACCAACCTCCCCACACCACTCCCTTGGCCCTGGAGAGGGGAGGGGAGGGCCGGTGCTGCTCACCCAGGGTGACAGCCGACTGCTCCGGGACATCGATGACGATTTCCTTGAGGCTCTGCACGTAGCAGATCTTATCCAGCACCGGGATGAGGAAATTCAAGCCCTGGAAGGGAGCGGGGAAGCAGCAGTTAGAGCCTGGACCCCAACGTCAGGGCAGACGGTGACACGCTTCGGAGCCAGGGATCATCAGGGGTCATGATCTGTTGAGGTCCCTTCCGACCCTAGCATCTATGAATCCCCATCGCCACCCGCAGCTGCACAGCAGGGCAGACTCCAGCATGGGCAAAGCACCTGCCCCAGGCACGAGGCTGCAGGCTGGGCTGTTTCCCACCTGCTGCCTTTCAACCCTTACATCCCCTACTGAGAAGTCACTCCTGTGCCTGCAGCATCACCAGCTGCTGAGACCACAAGGAGCCCAGACGACAAGGACTCGGTTTAACCAGAGGGCAGCGGGCACAGTGGAGGGCAGGCAGCCGGCAGCAAGCGGCGAGACGAGACTAAACCAGGTGTCAGCAGAGAGAAGCGCAGCGAGATCAGGAGCGCAGGCAGGAAGCGCGACGCGCCCGCGACTGAACTGGCTTGCACAAATTGTTAATGTTAATACCGTGCGAAGCGCGCTGATGCGTTGGCACAAGCTTCACCCACAAACAGGGTGGGGATGGGGGGGAGGAAGCCGATTCTGCCCCGATCTGTGCTGATCACGCACGGTCCTGGGGTCGGGAACGAAGCGCGGCCTGCCCGGCAAGATCCCGGTGCAACCGGGCTGCGGTAAGGGAGCTGCAGGGAGGGGAGGCCGCAGCAGACGGGGTCTCTCCCTGGCCAAAAATCCACCCCCAAGGGAACGGGGAGTCCTGGACGGACGGACAGGACCTGGATGACAACCAGGCACCCTCCACAGGGCAAGGGCTGGGCCACGTGCAGAGCGCAGGATGCGGCCCCCCCGGCCAGCGCAGGCGAGGGGGGCTGGTCTCTGCTCCCGTGGCAGCAGCCCCCGCATCCCAGCCCCGTCCCGGGCACCGGAGACGCGTGCGAGGATCCCTCCCGAGGCAGCAGGAAGCCTCAGGGCCGGTGGCGGCGAGGAGGGGCGAGCGGCAGCAGGAGCCCGAGCTCGGCTGGCGGGGGGCGGACACCGCAGGTCCCAGGCAAACCGGCTGCTTACGGGGTCCAGGATGCGGTGGAAGCGGCCCATGCGCTCCACCACCCAGGCCTCCTGCTGCGGCACGAACAGCACCACCGTGTTGAAGGGCAGCGCCGACGTCGAGGACGCCGCCCGCCGCGGGCTCTGCGCGGGGGCAAGGAAGGAGACGGTGCCACAATCAGGCTGGGTAGGACCTCCACCACGACCCCCCCCACCCCACTATAACCCTCCCTGCCCTCCCCCCACCAACCCCTCTGCCCCTCCCGCTCCTCCCCTCACCCACAGCAGGGGCCGCCCGGCCCCGAGCGCGCCCCGCGCCAGCATCGCCGCCTCCCCGCGGGCGCTTGCAACCAACGAGACGGCGCCTAGAGCGACTCCCGCGCGCGTGCGTCGGAGCAACGTGCCCCCCGCGCACACTTCCCGTCCGCGCCGGAAGGACGGAGCCGGCGAGACCGCGGCCGGTCCGTCCCCGAAATGTGCCCCCCCGGCACTTCCGGTTCCCCTGGTGCTTCGGGAATATTCGTCCCCCGACTGTGAAATAAGTCGCTGGTTAGGCGTTCCGCGGCCGCGCGGTGGCGAGCAGCCGGATTGGGCGGGGTTCCCCGGACCCAGCTCCAGCCTCCCCTTGCTCCCAGCCTCAGTCTTCCCGTCTGTGTAATGGGCACAATGAGCCTGGCCTGTGTACACGGGGCGGGGGTGTAAATCCAGCCCTGCGGGGCAATGGGGCTGCTGCACACAAGGCCAGCGTGCATAGCGGCGAGACAAGGGAGGCGGCGGTGCCTCGTGGGACAGACGCCAGGACGGGGGGACTCCGTGGCTGGGGGCGGCCCGGCGCGGGGGCAGCGATGCCCGTGCTCCGCTACGGGCACTGCCCAGGTTTCGGGGGCAGCCCCCTGCTCTGCTCTCTCCGTTGCAGCACCCCGTCCTCACGGCCCCTGCGCGCCACCGAGGCCGGGAGGGCGCACGACGCGCTCAGCTCCCCGCTCGCAAGCACGACGAGGCGGCCGGGCTGTTTCCAAACGACCGTTTATTAAATTAGAAAAGGAGGAGGACCGGGCACAACGTGACTTTTTTCTGGGGAGGGTGGTTGTTTTTTTTTATTACGTTCAAGTTTCTGCAACCGCTTGTTCCCCCCACCCCGGGCTCCGGAGGATGGCGTGAGATGGCGGGCGCCGAGCCCCGTGGTGAGCCGGAGGGTGGGGGCGGCCGTGGCAGCCTCCCCGTGAAACGTGGACAGCAGCTCTGCGCTGAGGTAGCTGGGACGGAGCCGCCCCCGCCCTGCATGGGTGGGGTGCGGGCCCGGCGGCTTCCTTGACACGCGCCCCACTGCTCGGCGACGCGGTGGCCGGCGGGCGGGTGCTGGTCATGCGGGATTAAAAACACCGCCCCCCTCTGCCCCCGCAGCAGCGGGACTGGGGGGCGAGGCGGGGACCGCCTGCATCGACCGCGCTGCACGGGGGTGCAACGCCCCAGGCCAGCGCTGGCCTAGTGGGGCGCGAGAGCTGTGGCCGAAGTGTGGAGGGAGGGAAGGAACGACTTCTCTGCGCTTCCCACCTCCACCCAGGCCTGCAGGAGCTCCCACCCCCGGCCCCGCCAGCCCCTGGCCCTGCTGGGGGAAGGGACCCTTCCCCTTCTCCCCCTGCAAACACCCCCGAGCCCTGCGAGGGGACGGCCGCTCTTGCATCTCTGCAAGCCCACAGGTCACCCGCTCCCACCCCCTGCACACCCGTGCCCCTGGCGCGTGGGGGCAGGACAGGCCTCGGCAGCACGCGGCGTGGGGGTCGGTACTGCCTCACATCCCTCTTCTTCAAGAGGCCCCAGCGCTGCGCCCCAGCCCGCTGCCAGCCTCCACCTGTCTCTCCCTTCACTCCAGGTCCCAGGGGCTGCCTCCTCCCGCCAGCTTGCCCCACAGAGCAGCACGGGTCCGGGAGGGTCCGTCTGACCAGGGATTCACTCGGCTCCCTGCAGAATGGGCCAGGCCAGACGCTTCCCCGCCAGACTGGGGGGAAACCTCACCTCTGGGCAGAGGGAGCCCCGCGGCTGCCTGGCCCCTGGCGGGGCAGACACCAGTGTGTCCTTGCCCCTCCACCAGCCCGCCCCCCACCTCCTGACCCGTCCTAGCAGCTGCTGCCCAGGGGCCAGGCCTGCCCTGACCGCTCCATCTCATCTGTGCACCGTGCCGGCTCTGTGGGGCTCGCACTGCAATAACCAGCAATCCCCCTGCCCCCAGCTCCTGGCCTGCTCCGTTCAACCTGCAGCAAACGCTCACTCCAAAGCCAGCGGCGCCTGGCATGCCCTGCCCAGGGACAGCCCATCCCCTCCGTGCCCCAGAGATGGTGTCCTGTGGGGACAGAGCCAAGGACTCCAGCCCAGCAGCACCGTGCACACCCCTTCTCCCCACTCCCTCCGGCCTGCTCCTGCCCTGCCTTTCTGGTCTGGACTCAGCCCCAGCTGCCTAAGCATGGCTCAGACCCGTCAAGACAGGGCCCAGCAGCTCTCGGCCACTGGAGAGGCTTCTGCTCCAGCCCCTGCAGCCTCCCTGTTTCCCGTAACAGGACCAGGGCTCAGGAGCTCTGCAGACAACGAGGCAGGAGAGGCCCCCTGCCTTCTTCTGAGACGCCTCAGCCGCGATGCCACCCCGACAGCCCAGCCCTGGCTCCCCGCACCCTGGTGCTGAAGGGGCCGTGCCCCATGCCCCCAGCTCCCTCCCACGTGGCACTACGAGGCCCCTCTGGGACCACCTGTCTCCTCACACCTGTGACCGCCTGGGCCCAGAGCTGCCCACCGGCCGCGGCTGCCTCCCCTGCAACAATAAATACTAATAAATACTGCACCCCAGCTCCCCGCACTGCCCCTTCCTCCCCACAGCAGAGAGTCTGGCACGGTCTGAGCCCCCCATCCCAGCAGGGCATGGTGTTGCGAGAGACCTGGGGATGTCTCCAGCACTGGCGGGGTGAGGAAGGCAGCACCCTGGCAGCCGTCTGTACCCTCCCACGTCACCCTGACCCCTCCGTGCTCACCACTGTGCAAAGGCCCGGGGCCACTGGCAGCCAGAGACCGCTGCCAAGGCTTGCTACCCCCACAGCTCGGTGGGGCGGGGGCGAAAGCTTCAGGGCGGAGGCTGAAGAGCCATCTCTGCTCTTGCCCTTTACTGGTCTCTACAAGGTGCCGGGCACAGAGGCCCGGGCTGGCCCTGCCCCATTCAGGCCCGAGGAGAGTAGCAGGGGTTCCTTGGCATCTCAGTGAAGGATTTCAGTTCGTAGGGGATGCCGGAGTCGACCTCGATGGACTTGCGGGAGAAGAGCAGCCGGATGTCGTCATGCAGGTAGATCTTCCCCGACTTGGAGCTGTGAAACCTATGGGGAAAGACGGGTTGAATATGCTGAGCAGGAGCCAGCAGTGTGCCCTTTGTTGCCCAGAAGGCTACCGGCATCCTGGGCTGCATCGGTAGGAGTGCTGCCAGTAGGTCAAGTGCAGTGATTCTTCCCCTCTATTCAGCACTAGGGAGGCCACATCTGGAGTCCTGTGTCCAGCTGTGCCCCCCCCACTACAGAAAGGATGTGGACACATTGGAGAGAGTGCAGCGGAGGGCAATGAAAATGGTTGTGGGGCTGAGGCACAGGACTGGTGAGGAGAGGCTGAGGGAACTGGGCCGATTGAGTCTGCAGAAGAGAAGACCGAGGGGGATTGAATAGCAGCCTTCACCTCCCTGCAGCGGGGCTGCAAAGAGGATGGAGCTGGGCTGCTCTCAGTGGGGGCAGATGGCAGGACAAGGAGCAATGGGCTCAAGCTGCAGCAAGGGAAGTTGAGGTTGGATAGTAGGAAAAACTTTCTCATGAAGTGGGAAGTAAAGCACTGGAACAGGCTCCCCAGAGAGGTGGTGCAATCTCCATCCTTGGAGGTTTTGAAGACCCGGGTAGACAAAGCCTTGGCTGGGATGATGCAGTTGGGGCTGGTCCTGCTTGGAGCAGGGGTTGCACTAGAAGACCCCTGAGGTCCTTTCAACCTTCATGGTCTATGGTTTTATGACAAGACCCGGCATGGGCAGGCCCGACCCTGCCGTGCAAGGTGTGGGGGCAGATGCTTCCACTCAGCTGCCTCGCGGGGCGATGGCAAAGCTGGGCCCCCCGTTTTGGCTGGACTTGACAGCAAGACAGGGTCTCACGGCTTGGAACCCATCATCTCCTCGTGGCACGCGGCTTTCCCACTAACCTGAGCCATTCTTCAGGCCCGCCACCACAGACGCCAACCCCCCCCAGGCAGCATGCCCACAGCCTCAGGGGAGATGGCCACCCCCTGCTTGACAGCCGGGCGGTAGGGGAGGCTGCAGGGAGCAGGAGGTGGTGGGGAGCAAGGAGAGACGCTGGACCCTGCTCCTGGAAGTGCTGGGAGGCAAGGGTGGCCAACCCTCCCACCACCCCCATCCCCACCCCTTACCTCAGGTGCATCAGGTAGCAGAGGACCCTGCGGGGGGGGTGGGCGCAAGCCGGGTCGCTGGGCACCGCACCAGCCCCCTCGTCCTCCCCCACGGGCACCAGGAAGATGCGGTGGCGCAGGAAGGTCATGTGATGGGCCGGCATGTCCTGGAAGTCATACGTCACCAGGAACATTTTCACCACAGTCTTGTTGGGGTTAAATAAGGTCTGGGGAAAAAAAGTGTGTGT